TGACAAAGCCGTTCTCGATAAGTTGATAAAGCGCAGAGTGACAAAACTGTACCATATCGTTCGTATCACTTGTCTTCCGACATTAGTGTGTTTGAAGCACTTATAAACTGGATTTGAATGCTATATACGACCCAGAGCACATCTCGCTGTCGTTGACAGGGAAGTTTCTGGAAAATAAACTCCCCTCCCCCCTCAATTCCCCACCCATCCACCCAAGCCCCATACTACTTGCCACCATCTTCCTAGATTTTTCAGAGTTCCAATCTCTCGTGCATTATTTTTCCCAAAAAAACTACCGCCAAGCGGGGGCAAGGTTGGGGTACGCACTTGAAACGGGAAAAACCGACAAAAGTCAACAATCCAATACATCTTTTTCAAAGACAAATACAACACCCTCTCCACTGCGATCACGTAAGAATATGTACGGAGCTTTACATCGAAAAGGTGATAATAAAGAGTTCATGTCATGTCTTCTCAGAACATTCTGTACCGCAGCACCAGAAACCAAAAAGGAAAAACTCAACTTACAAGACCAAAACCAGGTTGGAAAAGTCCTATAAGGGTTCTCTAGCGGGTGGGTACCGAAAGAATGTGTGATTCAATCTTTCACCACACGTGATTCATTGTCTTTTACACGATTGCTGAACTGTGAAAGTACCACGTGCTGTACGCACTAATCGCACTAATTGTAAGTCATCACTGCCAATCAGCTATGGGCCCAGCTAAAAATAACTCCTCATTTGTGAAACTGCGCAGGGTTGGCTTTCTTACTTGACAACTTACTCTCTTTTTGACATGCTGGGGTTACAACGCCCCTTGTTCAGTAGCACTGTGGCTTTTGAGCTAAGGCACGATATTGAAAACATGGTACAGCATCGTTATGTGTAACACATAAATGCGGGGGGGGGGCATTCTTTCCCGAAAGGGTGTATGTGCGTTTGAGAGAAATTTGCTGCGGTGATAACACGGAACTTATTCTGGTGGACTGGAAAATGTGGGAAACTGGTAGGTGAATGTTAGAAAAAAGGGGGTCGTACCGAGACTCTCATTTAGGTGCGGAGGGGGTGGGTCGTACCACACTACTTTCACACATCACGATGCTGTACCTTGACTGGAAATAACGGTATATTGCAAACGTGAAACATTCAAGTGCACCCATCATGCTTATATGACATAGCAAAATGGGAGGGAGGTGTACTCTCCACGGTCCCCGAAATAGGGGAGGGGGTGGGGCGTGACTGCGTAAATCATGTCGACATGGCATAAAATTTTTCATGGGATATTTCGATTTGAAACGGCAGTCAACCTGTTTTTTTTTCAAGGGATGAATACAATAGTCCCCAAACGGTCCCTCCAAGAGAGCATTTCAAAAAAAAGTACGCTGCCGTGCCCATTCCACCTCGTGGATATGGAGCGTACTCACCATCAGTTCTAGCATTCCGACCGAGTCAGCTACAGCACAATGGCAATCAATAAAAGGTACCGGGAAACAAGCTTTTTTCATCAAGGCATCATTCTGTCAAATAAAGTATGAATAAAAATCGGAAGCCAACAAAGAAATGTGCTATGCCTCTCTAACGCCTACAGCTAACTGCCCCATGTCCAACGACTTCCTTTAACAGAACCGCAACATGAGGAAAGTATGAAGGCCTCTGCGATTTCGAAATAACGTTATAAAGTTGATAAGGGCACGATTATATGAAACGAAAAAGGGTGGTAAATAGCAGAAATAACTTGTTAACCAACAGCAACAACAGCAAGGTGTCAGTGCGCCGAACGATAGCAGGTGGTTATCAGTACTGCGTTCTCACCCCATTCTATGCTTCATCGTCATGAAGGTATGCTGTCAGCGATAAGAAAAACAACTCTTAACGATGTCATGTACCGGATGTATTCCCGGTGATTCGATCAAGTATGACACCGAAGTGACAGTTCTGCGAGTAGCACAAAGACACTGTTCACGAAAACAATTTATTAAACGAATACTTTTACATGAAGAGAAACGGAAAAATCAAATGAACAAATAAAGCGAATAATGAAGTGGATCTTAGGAAGGTTCAAATAAGGGGGTGAGGCAGCACCGCGACTCGGCGGTCAAAACAGATCGAAAAAATGAGGCATGTATTCCACGCATCCGCAACTCTTATATACTCCTAATTCCCGCCAAGATCACGGCGCTTCCGGGGGCCTCTCAATGACCTGCCCTCCCACATGCCTCCCCCCTCTGAAGCTGCTGCCCTCAGCAGTGGGATCTCGTTCCTCTTGAGCTCGGGCAACGGAACCAAACCAGCTACCCTTTTCCTTATACCCTCATACAGAGCCTTAGCGCATGCCACAGTACAATCGGAGCTGTAAAAAGAAATGACAGCTTCGGGGGCTCCGATCTCACAAAAAACTGTGCCATTCTCAATTTTTGAATTGGAAGCTTTGAAACTGTCGGCTGCCCCCGCTTTTTTTTGCCAGGCCGTTATATTATCAGCGCTCGCAGATTATCAGCCCATCTTCTTTTCCAGCATATACCAAATTTTTCGCAACTACAGGGGGCCAGGCTGATATCACACGACCTCCTCTTTCAAAATGCATTTGACAGGCTTTCACGATTTCCATTATCTCATCTTGTTGCTTGCATTTCGCCATTCATCGGCGCCAGACGATCACCCAAATCGCATGCGTCTCGAACTCGTTGAGTACTTCTCTCAACTGGCCAAAACTCGCAGTCACTCTCGTTGAAATTCCTCGTTTGGGACCGTCCTTTTCCAGGAGCGCCGCACTTGCTGGTGCTGCGAACGCTGTCGAACCTCCTGTGATGGGCCGCTGTTCGCCTCTTTCTCCGTAATTTCCTTTTTGACTTTCTTCAGTGCCACATCATAGGTCTTCTCGAATCCATAGTTGTCGATCTTCTCGTGCTTACTGATTCCTTCTGTGACACAAACAAATTCCGTCCAATCGAGACACTTTTCGTAGGCCAGGCGAAGAACTTTCTGCAGTGCTTCCTCATCCAAACAGACTGCTCCGTCCTTCCAGAATTTTATCTTCGAGGCCATGTCGATATCCGATCTGATGAAGATACTCGCTGCACGCCATGCGTTCCACAACGTTCCCATTGGTTTCTTCGCGAAAGCGCCGGGCAGCTGCAATCCACGGAGTTCCTCTAACTTGACGTCCTTCAGACATCCATCCTTGCACACGTATTCGAGATGTCCTTTCTCCAGCTTCGACTTTATGTGTGCGCCTCTGAAACAAACTATTTATTCTATTGACCTTAACTCTTGATTTTGTTCCTTTCCTTTCTAGCCGGTAACTGTCACCGTATCTATTCGAATCTCTGAAATTGCGGGTGGGACGACTCAGCGCCATAGAAACTGGGTGCACCCGAATCGGCTCTGAGTTTTCAACATTTCTCGCATAAGCTGGCGAGATTTAATGCTCGTCTCAAATAAGGCTCAAAGGTCCAGTCTCGCCCCCCCCACTCAATGCTAGTTTTGGATGGGAGCTAACTCTGATTAACTAACTTGGACAGCATATACACGCGGTCCCCCACTTTTGCGAGCTTATTCTCATCCACGCCATTTCTCTTATCATAGTCTTTCTTCATCTTCTCCCTTACACGCTCATTATAATCCTTTATCCGGTCATGGACCTCCGCTACCGACTGCAACAATTGCACTTTTAATAGTAAAAATATTATCCTTGTCCATCATATACCAAGATATGCCTCCATTTGGGATCACCGTTGAGGGCAAATTGGGATCTATTCCATGCAAAATAAAATAAGGACTCTCTCCTGTTGCCTGGTGGGGAGTCGTGTTATACGCGAACATGCAGAATGGTAACCTTACGTCCCATTCCATCGGCACTACCGTACTTCGCCTTAGCATGGCTACCACCGTCCCATTCAATCGTTCCGTTATGCCGTTTTCCCTAGGATTGTAGCCTTTGGTCATCAAGTGCTCTATACGCGTAATCCTAGTCAACTCCTCCATGATTTTATTTTCTGAATTTCTCAGCCCATGTCCGATAAGATTCTTTGGCAGCGGCATCCTTCCGCTATCCATCTCACAAAGAGCGTTTTCGCAATCGTTTCTGCCGACTTGTCCGCTACAGGGTAGGCTGCTGCAAACTTCGAGAAATGGTCGATGACGGTAATCGCATACCGATTCCCACTCGACGTCATCCCCAATTCTAAAACATCCACACCGACAACTTCATAGGGTTTCGAAGTGACTATCGGCTTCAATGGGGGTGTTGCCCGTGACTTAGCGTTGTGTACGAAACATCGTTGACACTCTCGTGTCCACTTATAGACACCTCGTGCCATGGCTGGCCAAAAAACTTGCTTCCTCAGTTTATTCAACACCTTGTGTGCACTGAAATGCCCTGCAAACGTTCCTGCGTGGGCTTCGTGAAAAACTTCCGTGAGCGGGCGCTCTTGGTAACCTACATATACAAACTTCCCTCATTGGTGTAACTTTTTATAGTATCCCCATTTCTATTACGAGAAGTCGCCACATTCACGATTTCCGTATCCCTGGCATTGTCACGACGTCAAGGCTACGCCCACTTCTTATCACGTCGAATATAACAGCGAAGTCCTCGTCTTTCTCTAATTCCGTCATCCACTTGGTCTTCTCTTTGACGTTAATGGTATTAACCACTGCCTCGTTGAGCCCGTGCTCAGACTCCGAATCGTTCCACTGTACAGCCCCTCGACTAAGCGCGTCTGCAACCACATTTGTCTTCCCTTTCACATACCTTATCTCAAGATTATACCTTTGAATCTCCAGAGACCAGCGCAAAACTCTGGCTGACACATTCGTCCTGTTGAAAAGTGCAGTCAGTGGACTTGATGGTCTGTCAGAACGCTACTGGGGCAAGTCATAGATGACGAGTGAAACCGCCTAACTGCGAACACTACCGCTAAAGCCTCCAAATCCGTCACGTGATACCTGCGTTCTGCCTTGCTGAGCCCTTTCGACGCAAAGTAAACCGGATGAAGATTGCTGTCGTCCCCCTCCTGGGACAGCACGGCTCCCAACCCCGACGTTGAGGCGTCTGTGCATATCACAAACGGTCGAGAACCGTCTCTGGCCTTTGCTATATTTGGCTGCATCAACACTGGCGACGTTGATATCATCTTCTTAACACTGTCGAACGCCTCCTGATGCTCCTGCGTCCACTTCCAAGCCGTCTTCGGAGACGTGAGAGAAAACAAACATCCTACTCGCTTCGCGAACCCCAAACAGAACTTGCGATAGAAGGATGCCATCCCTAAGAAAGTCCTCAGTTCCTTCACGTTCACCGGAGCCTTGTAACTCGTGATTGCTTCCACCTTCTTTGGGTCCATATGGATACCTTGCTTTCCACGACAGCTGCCCCAAGAAATTACGTTATTTGCATCAGCACACACTTCTGCGCTTTCAATCTGAGCCCTGCTTCCTGCAGCTTCGCACACACTTGTTTGAGCAGCTCTATATGCCTCTCCCGCGTTTCCGTACAGACTATTATATCATCAATGTAACAGAAAACTTCAGTTCCAAGAAGGTCACGCAACACCGTATCCATTAGTCTCTGGAACACAGGCGGACTGGTGCTTAATCCAAAAGGAGTCACACGAAATTGGAATAGTCCTTCCGGCGTAGTGAACGCTGATTTCTCTGACCAGTGCTCCGCCGTGAGTGGATGTTGCCAGTATCCACTACAAAGATCCAAAGTCGAGAAATACGATTTACCCGACAAACTTTGCAATACTGCGTCTATCGTGGGTAAAGGGTATGAATCAAGCTTGATTTTCTTATTTAACTCGCGGTAGTCGACGCATAATCTGAGACTGCCATCTTTCTTTTTCCAACCAAAACAATGGGAAAAGCCCACTCTGAACTACTTTTTTCTATCACTTTCCTCCTTTCCAAATCTTCTAGGAGCTCTCTAAGTTTCTTTCTCATGCCCAGTGGAACGGGCCTTGTTTTCATCTTAACTGGCTTATTATCACCTGTATCTATGTTCATTTCTACCACGTTGTACTGTCAGCTCTACTCATTTACTGAAAAGGCTTCAGGGAATCTCATGCAAGATGGACTCAACTCTTAGCGCTCAACGTTTCTACACTTGACGCCTCCTTAATCTGTTCTAGCAGTAAAATTCGCCTCTGCTCTGGACTCATATCAGGGGATGTACTATCCAGCATGAGCGGGTTCACATCTTCCCAACCCTCACGCCATTTCTCTGTCCCCCACTGACCTGTCACTGTTCTTCCCTCTCTACAGATCATGGGCTCATCGCTATCGTTCACCACGGATACATCTACACTTCGACCTTTGATGGTATACACACCTGCAACCATCCCAGTCATGTGTGGCCAAATGAGGCGATCTCCCTCATTGTAACCGTGCCCTCCATCGAGCCGACAAATGCATTGCACTATGCGGGTAATCGTAGCCCTCCTGCTACTATTACTTTCGTTGTGAGGATACCCTGTTCCTTATCGGCGATCTAGCTTCTGGTGATATATGTGCACGTTAACGCCCAACTGGTCCAAGGAGTTTGTACCCAGTAATATCTCTTTTTCATTGACATCCATAATGTGGAAAGACACTTTGGCTTTTCTACCTCCTTCTAATTCTACTGTAATCTTCACAGCTCCCATGAACTCCATGCGATTACCTGATGCGTCATACACTGGAACCATGTCTGAATTAGAAATCATCTCTAAACTGTCCACGTCAAAGCCACTTCTTTGTGCCTGTGCCAGCACCGCTATTGGTACTATGCTAATCATGAACGCGCGTATCAAGCACGCGCGCACGCCGGCGCGACAACATGCTGAACGCATGCTTGAGCATATCTCACCTATTAAGGGTCCACTCATGTCGCCGTTGGCTCTTATGCCAAGGCTCCGCGCACTCTTGATCAACCCTGTCATGTTTTTACGGTTCTCTTCCGAATCACTTGTCGTATTGTTGGATGTATCCACTATCTGGTTAACGCGGGGTCTCCTCCGTGGACAATCCTTCCCAATATGCCCTATCTGCTGGCAGTTGTAGCATCTTCTTCTATCGCTGCCTCCTTCGCTACGACCTCCCTGTTCTCTTTCAGCGAGACCCCTAGTCCCACCATTCCGAACCTCCTCACTGGGTCTGGAATGCCTCATCTCGCTTCTGCTGGCCCCCTGCTTGGGCCCGTCATTCAAGATTGACTTCGCTATGCCCTCTGTCCTGAACGGGTTTTAGCTCGAGCTCTCGCTTCCTCTCTTCTTGATGGTACGCGGCTGACCTCCTTTTCCATCCATCTCTGCGCGTGCCCACTCTCGGAGTCCATATCGCCTTCGACTGCTCTATGCTCAGAGCCAACTGCTTGACGGAGTCATACGCCTCAGTGGGGTCTACCCTGTGTAGCGTGCTCAGTAGGTGGACGTGTTCTGGCCAATCCGTCAAATTGTCCAGAAGTATCTGAGCGTACTCAAGCGATCTATCTTTTATGCTACAAGAGGGGTTAGCCTGTCGACCAAGTTTCTCCAGTGCAAGACAAAATCCGACAACTTTGATCCATCTCCGCTTAAAGAAGTTCTGTAGCTCGCCAGTGCCCTCAATCGTTGTCCGCCGTTTGAATCGTTTGCCAATAACTTCCTTAGTTCTTCCACTACTGTCTCGAAACTTTGCTCTCTTACATTCCTAGGTAATGAAAGAAAAACGCTTTTGGCCCTGCCTTCCAGATGATCGTCAACCATAATTGTCGGCAGTTAAGAGTCGCTGATCAATCAAAAATAACAGTCCTATACTTTCGTTTAAATCGTCTTATGAACTCTTCAAAATTGTCGCCCTTATTCCCCTTGAATATCCCAGGGCTTATGCATGCATTGGCTTGAATGTATGCCATAAAGTTTAAGGCATCCTGACCTGATGTGCCGCTTTGTCGTCCCGATATCTCCGAATGCTGCCTCGAGGCTGGCGCGTAAGCTGCTCCAATCGGTGACGTCCGACTTCTCCGTGGCAGAATCTGAACAAAGTCTCTGTTTTTGAATGAATAAAGCTAATCCTGTTACTCTATCCATTGACCCACGGCTTCATCGTGCTCGTGTCTCATTTTCTGCCTCATCCATTGAGCTTGTTGCTGGGCTTTCGAATGTCTCTCCTCGAAGCCTGGATCTTCGCGTCAGCGTACTCCACGTGATGGTTGCGTTTACATCCGTCTGAAACATGTCACATATTACTGCTAGTAATTCACCATCCCTTTCTGTCACACTAATATACTCATTCAGATCCTCCATACTTTCTATCCCCTTATCCTGAAGCGTCTGCAAAGTCTTGCAAACCTCTCATGTCCTACTACCTGTCGGCTCTTATGTCCTCCATATTGTACGCCGGCTAGTATGGCTTGTAAGCAAATTTCATCAACTGGTTTTGTATACTTCAGCTATCACGTGCCTCCGATTAGCTTCCGCCTTCCACGTACGTAATGCTTAACGCTCATCTCCCACTATTATCCAACTCATTGTTATCGTTAACCTCAAATCTTTGATCATAGACCTGACGGACCTCTCATTAAACGATCGCCTCGCGCGGTTTCTATCTTCTCACGTTTATTCTGGCAATAGACAATGTTGACTTTGATCAAGTATTCCGAATGTCAAGTATCGACGACGTCGCCGGTTTATGAGACGATATCGATCGATTAACTACGCAATAGTGAACCAAAACAAGAGTGAGCGCTTATCACCTATCTTGCAAAGGCTTCCACTTACTGGACGGGTTTCTCTTAGCGTCCTGCACTTTGGGGTACCCTCCTCTTGCCCTAGCCACAGAGATCACCTGGGTTTTTTCCCGAAAGTTTCGGCGAGTCCCTGCTTGATTCGCCTCCTCTACCAGCCCTAGGACGGCTTACTTCGCGTCCCTGGTCTGACTCCTGCTGTTCACTATCTGAACAGCTTCTATCAATATGGAGCTGGGGGTCGCCTTTCCTGATCACTTGTCGGCGATTCTCAAACTTCCCCCACGCTGGTTCTCCAGTTTCGGCTTATGCGGTCCCCTTTGACCGTTCTCTGTCTTCTATGTGCTACCACGCAGCCAGTCACAATCGATTCGACTTGATCGGTTCGGGCCCCCATGTACCGGATGTAATTCGCCGGTGATTCGATCAAGTATGACACCGAAGTGACAGTTCTGCGAGTAGCACAAAGACACTGTTCACGAAAACAATTTATTAAACGAATACTTTACAATGAAAGAAACGGCACATCATAATGACAAATAAAGCGAGATAGTAGAGTGAATCTTAGGTAGGTTATAATAAGGGGGTGAGGCAGACAGGCGCTCGGCGGTCAAAAACAGAATGCGCGGAAATGAAGACATCGATATTCGCAGCATCCGCACTCTTATATACTGCCTAATTTCTGCGCAAGATCTGACGCGGCTTCCGGGGCCTCTCATGAGCTGCCTCCCAACAGTCATGCAAAGTCAAGTGGTCAACAAACTGGACTCACGCATTACATTTAACCTCCAATGCGGGCCGCGAATCGCACCTTTTCCACCAGTAAACATCAACATACGAATATGCAGAGGTTGAACGAGATATTTAAGCGATAGAAAGGTATGTTTATCTCAATTATTACCTAATTTTATTTTAGTATTGTCAACTGAAAGTGTTTCTCAAACATCCCCAGAAAGGGAGGAATTTAGAAAAACTACGCATACTTACAAAGTAAGAATTTGTGCATACTTCGCGGTAGCGCCCTGAGCGTCTATGAGCTTTTTGAGCCACCAGGAAAATACGGGTATTGATTTAGCGTTTTGAGCATCAGCCAGCGTTTCAGCGGCAAGCAATATCTGTATCTGAAGATTCCTAGTCGCTCAGAACGCTCAAACGCTTACGCAAACTGTGAACACAATGGAGGGCCCTACACAACAACCTTATTGAATGCCAGTAGTGGAAGGAAACCACAACTTGTTTCAAGCCACAAAAATGTAATATCAGCGAACCACAATCAACCCTAGTTTTCATAGAAACAGGCAAGATATTACGCACAATTATCAATGAAAGAACAGAAACGCGAATCGTAATCAGTTCACACGGCGTTCAAGGTGATAAGCTACTAAAGCTGGATAAACACTTCGATGGAGTTTACGCAACCATTTTCTGTCAACTGATTTCAGTGACTGGGTGTGACAATCGAGAAACAATCAAGTTCATATTTTCAAAAGTCAAGGACAGTAAAACACTGATTAGCAAAAAACCAGTTTCTGGGGAATGCGCGATTCTCTGTGAACTTTGGCACGATGACGATAGCATGCACTAATCGCTGAAAGTGCTCATGATGTTTCTGATGTGTTGGCACTACACAACTATGTATTACTGGCCCGAAGAATAAGAAAAAATTTCGGATAAAACTTTACCATGATGACATCTTGGTGCACTGATCACGAATATAGCATTAGTTTCTGGTGAGGCGCCTTTTGGTTTGCACTATCGCCGAATTTGTCGGCGCACCTATATATGCGGTAAACCTTCCGCAAATGAGGCTTATGAGGCTTGCATACGAGCAATATTCGGTAGTCCTGATCACGATGTGTACATCTGGGCACTAGGTGCTAACGGCTATAATGTTAAGGCCGCGTTCATAGCTTGCGATCGTGAAGAAATGCCGAAACTGCAGAAGTGCGGAATCTGCAGAAATGCCGAAAGTGCGGAATCTGCAGAAAAGCAATAGATACGTATCGATTTGAAGAAAGTGAAGAAATGCCGAAACTGCAGAAGTGCGGAAAGTGAAGAAATGCCGAAACTGCAGAAGTGCGGAAAGTGAAGAAATGCCGAAAGTGAAGAAGTGCGGAATCTGCAGAAATGCCGAAAGTGCGGAATCTGCAGAAATGCCGAAAGTGCGGAATCTGCAGAAAAGCAATAGATACGTATCGATTTGAAGAACTTTCCCGTCACGTTTAAATCGAGATTCGGGACACTTCTGGGCAGTTTTCGGCATTGTGCTTCAGCTTTGCTTCAAATTCGAACGTATCTATTGCTGTTTCTGCAGAATTCCGCACTTTTGCCGGCATTTCTGCAGCTTCGCGCACTTTGCAGTTTGGCCTTTCTTCAGTTTCGCAAGCTTGACGCGGCCTTGGGCGACCACACCATAGGCTTTGTCTTGACCCGGCAGCCACGTAGCGGCGGATTCTGTTGTTTCGTGTCAAAAGTGTGAGCAGAGCATTACTGGAGACGGGCTCAGGCGTAGCTATAACACAACATTTCTGATTGCCTCGATACGGCGTGGTTGCTGTATGCTAGGTCAAAACGGGATCCTTATCTCTGGGGAAGCACAAACAAGCGCTGCCGGTGCGCTGCAAGTGCGCCCATTCGTGTTCAAGAGTTGAATCCTGGGAGCAGGTTTTCAGCAAATTCATTGGCTGGGGCAGTTTGGCGCCGGTGTCTGTGTGGTGCGGCGCGCCAGGCGGTTTCAGCCCACACGGATGTGATGTTTGCCGGTTGCGGAGGTGAACCTTCCTATAAGACAGGTTTTGTAGGCCAAATCTACTCTCGTAGGAGAAAGTCGGTAAAAGTCTGGCTTGCTTTCGGAAGAATGGGCTATTATTTATTTATTTGTTCGGAGTTGTAAACTTGTTGGGCCATCTTTGTGGCATCGAAAACGCCAAATGCCGATTATTAGCCGTCTTTTCGGCGCATTTGGCGTTTTCGATGCCACAAAGATGGCCCAGCAAGTTTACAACTCCGAAGGAACACCTCAAACGGTAATTAACAAAAGCTACTAAAACCTTAAAAGCGGTGTCAACAACAGAATTCATGAACGACCTTGAAGCACTATATGCATACACTTAGAAAGTTCGCCACAAGTAAATCGACGTGTAAATATAGAGACTCATCAAGAATTCATGAAAGTAGAAACAAAAAGTAATCTAAAGCGATCTAAAAAAGAACGGCAAACACCGACTGCCACCACCGCCGATGGGCAACTGAACAACATGTGACGAGATTGCATCAGTATGATTAGCCACATTATGCAGATGGTAACAGATGCTTTGACGGTTCCCAGGAGTGTTGTCAACAAGTTCCAGCTTCCAGAGCAAACGGTCAAACTCATTGGGCAAGGTTACTTTTACTCATGACTGCCCCGCATGATACCCATGCGCTTGCTGACCAAGAGTTCGGAAGTTCTTGGAAGCAACCTCCTTTCCATGATGGGAAGAGAGGTTTCTACAAAATAAGGAAGCACTTCGAGCATCCCGAGTTGCTCCCGGAAATTGCTCCTTGGCGTGAAATTGGTGAAACCCTCCGCAACCACCTGCGCGCGGCGACGCTCGCGACCGCCGCATGTCGCGGGGGCCGCGGGTGACGCTGGATTTGAAGCGTTGCATTGGATCCTCTAGAAAGGGAAATTGACTCCTGGGTTTCTTTTGAAGAACTCTGGGTACTCTTGTTTTGCCCTTTTATTTCAAATATGCACAGCAGTAACGGGGAGATGGCCCTGTTTTGCTGTGGCATGACGATCATATCGTTTCTCGTTCCCTTATAGGGGTAAAGCTTTGTATTTTCACATTTATTTATACTATTTTCTGGAATATACATGCTGTTACATTTGATGAAGGTGAATAGTGCACAAACATGCTTTGGCACTGGTCGGTTTGAGAACTGGTGGTGGACTGAGATTTAATGTCCTCAAAATTTGAATTCACTTCATTTGGTACTTGTCGCGTCCTTATTTGGTTTTTATTGAGTCACTTAATTTTTTCGAGTGGTATCCGGAAGCTACTTTGAAAATTGGTTTCTTTAAATCTTGCAGTTTCAACATCCTTCTAGAGCCTCGTATTTATTTTGTCGTTTTGCTCGTTGCTGTGCTATTCTTGAAATTAGGCTTACCCTCATTTTAATCTTCTATTCAGGTTCAGTTGATGATGATATTATGATATAACTTTGTATTGCTGGTGATCCATCTCCTTCCCATTTATTGCGGTGGAAAAAGGTACTGCGAAAGTTGAAACATGGCGTCGTTCATGAAAATGTTCAAAAATAAGAAGGGATCTAACAAGGAGAACCTTCCTAACATGGTGAGTGCAAGATCTTTCTTTTCGAGTATTGTGCTGTCCCAATGCTATTGGGATTGTAATGTAAAAACGCAAAGAGGCACCAAAAATCTTATTGCAGAAAAACTGTAAAGATGCGAAAGAATCCAAAAGTTGTCCCAGAAAAATTTTGTTTTCAATCCTTTCCTAGGATATTTAGGTGCTTAGTACCTTCCTTAGCGACAGTAGGAAGATTTTGCAATAAAAGTTAAGTGCCTCTTCATGTTTACATTGAGATCTTTCTTTTCGTTGCTCATCTTGTGTTACTGATTTCAGCCACATAGCGGTCCGCTGGTTTTCACGTATATTCATTGCAGAATCGCAGTACTTTGGAAAGATCCTCGACGGCAAGTAGCGACTTTATGACAAACCGAAGTGATGCGGGTGTCTATGCAGGGGAAAATAGGAAATCTCGAGAGATGCACATACCAAATCCATACTCCGTAGTAACAGCTCCGAAAACTAACAGAGGTTTCTGGAAGTTAACTCCATTTTTATGATTAAATACTTTTTGCTCCATATGCTGCTTTTTTGTTTATGTTGCAATAATTCCTGCGGCATAAAGATCGCTTTTAGGGCCTCGATCGTGTCCTGGCGCTCCAATGGATGATCGTAGCTATCGCGTTAGTTCACATCGAGGGAAACCATTGAATGATCGCTATTCCACAATAAATACCTCTCTACGCTACGAAAACGTTGGAAGGAAGCGAAACGAGTTGGTTTTCCTCCTTCGCTTAATTCTGTTTCCTAGTTTGATTGATAGTTGACACCTCTTTTGGAAGGAATACCATTTTTTTGGGATGTGGAATGAAATTCCTTATACAGATGCGATCATTTTTAGCGGACTTTTTTCAGTGTCTATCAGCATGATACTATTCTGGAGTATAGCAGTGAAAGTGCGAACTCCAGTAGAGGCAGTCCGCCTGATCTTCATTCCAGAAAAGATATGAGCTCACACAAACAAGTATGCTAACCACTTCGCATCACGTTTTCCTATACCTTCAGCATTTTATCTTTTTTCGCTCTTGCAAGCGCCTGAAGTGCATTCTTTCCACTACCAAACTGAATACCTTTTAGTCGAGACGCAATCAAGATCAGAGGTACTATGGTTCTGCTTTGAACGAATCTACAGATGATGATGAGGGGGCAACCATGCATATTGTTAGTCCGTTTTCTTCACGATTTTCTCACTACTTCAATACTTTCTGATCAGTTTTTGTCCAGATTCGATTAGAAGCGAAACTGAGTAGGGCCAAGGAACTTATTCGCTCTACGAGAAGGGATATGACTGCGAGAATAGAGGAACTTCAGGATGAAATCGAAAGAAAAAGGTGTGCCGTTATCCCTCGAAATTTCTTCGCTTATTATGATGTTTTAGTCGAGATTATGACACCCTTAAATGGCACTATAAACAAGCCAGAAAAGCTTTTGAAGATGAGCGGAAAATCAACGCACGGCAAACAAAGAAGCTTCATCAAGCTCTTGAAGAAGTGGTTGGTGTCGAAAACTTCTTTTTTTTCATGAATGTGGTGACAAGTACTGTGGGCATTACTTTTATTATACGGTATGCTGTTTCAGTCTCGGTTGAAGGCAGTGTTAGCTGAACATTCAAATGACAGCTCATTTCTGGTCCCTTATTGTGGTGGCCTTCCACCTATGGGATATGATTCTGGAGCTGGTGAAGCTCTGTGTTCATTAGCAGAAGCACAAGTTGATGGTATCAATGATAGGCTTTGCTCGATGAATGAAGCCCATGCTGGTAGCATAAGTGATGGGCTGTCCTCTCAGACTGAGCATACAAATACTCGCGAAAGTACTGCTGAACCTACTCTGAAACTGGATAACAACGAAGATATGCAAGATGAGGTTTGTGATCCATTCTGTTGGATTGGTACTTCCATAATTGCTTCATGATTCGTCAACTTCCTTTGCTTCGCAGGCATTTTATTAAGTTCACTTATGCTAGTAATGGTGAGGTGATGTAGTGACAAGTGGCACGCTTACCATTCGCGCGGTCCTGGGTTCGAATCCCAGGTCGACACCCGCCCCCAACCAAGCCTTCTACCCTCCGGGGGTGGTAAAGCTCCGGGGGCGGTAAATTGATACCAGATTCGTCTGGGAGGATAAAACACTGACTTGTACATCGGCTCCCGCAAGTCATTGTATAGGCCACATCGCATTCAATAAGCCACTACGATTCTGAATGGAAGTAGAATGCGTGCCGCATCTCACATGGGTTGATTATCGGCGAAGACTATCCTTTTATCCTTTTGTGCTAGTAATTGTGTAGGGTTATAAACTTGGGGAAAAGCGTATAGTACCCCTATTAGTTGGAATTAAATGTGACTGCTCCAGAAATACACACCACTGGGCAGGTATGATTATTCAAGTTTATTGGCCTGTGTTGTTCGCCTTTTGCACAGCTTGGTTGATGTACGCTTCATCATTGACGCGGACTCTTGTGCCCACCCACGGAGCGAGTGCAGCTTTCCTACAACTAGTAGTTACCCAGACCTTACCTGACGAGTGTTGTTTACTCTTGCTGGTTTTAAGCATCAGTTCCGCGCAGTTTTGGTTTTCTAGTCCTATATATAATAATTCATTTTTTTTGCTCCATAGACTTATATTTGTTATTATTATCGCTTTTAAAAAGACCTTACTAGTTTGGTAGATGACGTTCTCTGCACCTTTTACACATGCCCTATTTAGGTGAGGGTTTTTCGAACAGCTGAGTGTGACACCCCTCCTCCAGAAAGACCGAGAGCTGCTGGTAGTCCAATAGACCCATTATCGTCGTACGTTCCCCTCCCGGATTTTACCATTAACAATGAGCTCGTTCCTCAAAGGTCAGTTGATCGGCACTCATTATTCTCCATAGTTGTCTTTAGATTTTATCAGGCTGAACAGAATTCGTTCAGATCGTTGTCCGACACTGATATTCGCGCGTTAGTTCTGCAAGAAACTGAAAAAAGTGAATTGAGAAGGCTGCAGGATTTTCCGGTTGAAAAGCAGTTCTGCTCACTGACGAAGCCAATCCGGAAGGACTATGACTATTACGTGAGGGTACGTCTTTGGGATTATTTTTTAATACATGGTATATGTTGTATTTTAACCCTATTGCGTACCGCGTGCTGCACCATGTGCAGCACGCTCATTCGTCGCTGTATGGCCGCGTGCTGCACATGGTGCAGCACGATGATTTTTCGCTCCATCTGGATTATTTTGCATCCTTTTCTGCTACAAAGTTGCGAGCATATGTTTTCGAACACGGAGAACAACATAAGTACGTGGGACCTCGATCGCTGAAGGAGCACTTGGGTTATTGACCTCTTTCATGAAATACTTCAATTGTGATCTTCTTCATTTATTTTCTACGTTCACAAACACTCATAGAGGATTAAACAGGACACCGTTGATGATATGTGTGGAAACACATAATGCAAAATTTTGATCGCAGGTTGTTCATCCTGTATTCACTAATATTGTGTGGTTTCTAGCGTACGGAGCACCATTCGTCCGGGAAAGGTAGTTCGCCCTCGTCGAGATTGATCCAGTTCAAGTACTTTGCGATAGCATAACGATCGGCTTCTCTTACAATCAAATCAACGAGATGGTCTGAGAAAAATCGCCGGAAAAATCTGATTGGGTACTGGTAAAATAGAACATCTTCATCCAGTACACCACCGAAACCTTGGAAGTCAAAATTGTTCTGCCTGCTGATATTTGGGGTCCATTGAACCCTCCATCGTTTGAGCCTTCTTCGCTTGATTCCCAATCGGACTCATCACTTTAATGATTCACGCGGACAAACATATCTTCAGGGGTATCGGGGCCCTGTCCCATCACTTCGTTATCATTTTCAATCAGAAGTTCATCAAACGATCTATTTCGCGTCCATCATTGCCTATTTGGAACAGCTACCATAAACTAAGCGTAGTTTCTAAAAAAATAGCCTGGAGAAGCGAAACGACGTACGTTGAGTTTATACTTCGCTGCGGGCGCGAGAAATACCGCTCTGCGTGGCCGCGTGCTGCACCATGTGCAGCACGCCGGCGAGGTTGCGAAATATGGCTCGGGCACACGCGGCAGCCAGCGAAAAAACGCCGCGGTACGCAAAGGGTTAAACCTTGTACTTTCCATATCTCAGAGTTCATGTGGCCTTGGCTGCGTACATCGCTTGAAAGTGGTGGCAGTTGCGCTTCTGATTGGCTGCTTTCGTTTTGGTAGTACATTCATGTGCTAAACACAAGATAGGATGAAAGTTGTCGCGAACGCAATTCTTGCGCGAAAAATGCATTGTAGCGCAAAATTTAGTTTCCGATTCCATGCTTGGTTTCCCTATAGGAGTGACGTTCTCCCTAGCGCCACCGCCACCGAAGTCAATTTCACCGAGTTAATGCTGAGTTACCCCAATGCAGATGAACCCTACACGGGTGGTAAAGAGCTAGCTCTTTCGTCGCTCTTTTTTTATTCTCCCAGCAAACTTCTGACTCGAGAGCTTTACTTCTAATAATTGTCTGTTCTCTCAGTTTAGCGTTAGGTGATCGCAGTTCTTATCGATTCAGTGTAAGTGTTGAAAGCGCACCTGTGCGTGCATAGATAAATAAACAAGTAAATAAAGCGTGTAGCCACGCCCTCCCTATCCCCGGGTATGATGTATATGTTTTGTTAAGGATGGTCGTGATTATGTCTGCGCAGTAGTTCTGAAATGATAGTAAAAATTCGAGGGATTTCATGTCAGTAACGCTGAAGCCGTTTTTCAGATTGCTTTACTTCCTGTTTCCTTTTTCTGAGTAATTTGTGTGGAAAGGTTTTCTGCACAATTAGGGTGCTTCAGGGTTATAACGAAAAAATGGAGGATGATGGCTCAATAAGTACTTCTGACGAAGAGACTTGTCGCATAATAGAGAAGCAATTGAAAAAGAAAGGAGAGGTGGTTCGATTTCAACCGCCAAGAGTAACAGTTAAACCAAGGCATTACAAAAGGCAGGTTACTATTGATCCCTGGAAGATCTTTTTGTCCCAGATGTTATGCATTTTTCAGATTTGGCAAAATGGAGCGGTGTGCACTGGCGGAATTCGATTATCTTCAGGATATATCTACCGACGTTAGTGCGTTGCAGTCAAGCCCCGACTCGCATCACAGTATAGCTATCTGAATTTTGCAGTTTGTCATAGCAAAAAATACTTTTATTACTGTATTTTTTATATCTTCAGTGGATCTATGTGGTATTTAGCCGTCCCTTCTGTGTATATTACTTTGCTTTAAGCTTTGTAAAGCTGTCACTCTGATAGAATTTTGAATGCGTAGGGACAGTTTTGGGCTCATAAGTCCACCCCCTTCGCTTTTCGTCTCAAAAAAAACCAGCACTTTTTTAAACCATTATGCAGGGTTCTTTTCTTTAATATGGCATTTTTGAACATGATCATCACTTATTCATCACGGCGTATGACGTTCGTGGGTTTCTTAATTGCGCGTTCTCACCGTATAACGTGTTTTATTGCCTCATTAATACCCTTCTGACCGTACTCAAATGTCCTTGCCTTAACTTTTAACACTTTCACGCATAAGTTGTCTGTAATTGCTCATATTATACCTTTTGAATAAATGTCGCAACTCGAAGAGCTTTTCGATGTGAGAATGTTAGTATCAAGCATCTGCTATCTCTGAAAAACTCTTAGTGATCGGGTTTAAAAATGTGGGTGTTGACACACTGGACAGGCGCATTTCGGCGACGGAACGGGATGGGGGGGGGCATTTTGCACTTTCGTTGCTTCACTAGTTCCGGTTTACAAGTCTCACTCCGATGAAACCTGTGAACTCTTTCGAGGCTAGAGCAAGCTCGTCAGCCACCATGGTAAAACCTATCAACTCTTGCAAGCTCATGACTCTAGACGGATCGGCACGTCAATGGGAAGCAGCAAAAGTGCGAAATGCCTCCATCACCACCCCCCCCCCTCCTTTCGCCGAATTATCCCCACTCAACAGTCTATCAAGGTATGGAAGTTGATGAGACGTTAGTAAATGGTCATGCGGGTACAAGCTGTGTCAAAGAAGAAAAGATGGAGGATGATGACTGGGATCCGGACGAAGGAATGAGCGACTTCTACCGTCACCATCCGTGTGCCAGGAATGAGCGTACGTCTTTTACTCAGTTCTGTTGAATATGTGCCTCTTGGTTTCTTATTTGTCTTGGAGTTTATTTTTTCGTTTCTGGATAGGTCAGGGTTCTTGCTTTTTTCTTCGTGAAAGTGCGGTTTGAGTCAAGTCACGTTGAACGGTTTTTGAATTAACAACACAGGTGTAGGGGCTGTCAGAGACCATCAATTTTTCCTCAGCTCTTTGGCATCGGAGAGGGGTTGTGTGTCCTGGTTTCTATTTGTTTTCTTTGGAACTTTTGTTATGAAATTCACTGAATGATGATCATGTTTACTCGAACGCTGAGTACTGCAAACTGCTCCAGAACTTGCAAGATTTACTCCTGTGTGATGTCTAGTTCGAAAAATCCTATTGACCGTAGAGAATAACAGTTTATTCCAGAACTGCACGGAAAGTTTCACGGAATTATTTCATATTAACCTTTGGTGCTGACATAACCATAAATAATTATAGCCAGTGAAATTCCTAAGTGGTCGGAGGGGTGCATGATTCAGTATAATTTTTGGCGGCCCGTTCTGCGTTGGAAAATGGTGATTTGTTAGGATCAAATACTAGTAGAAAGATGGTGAATAGCACAAAAAAGCCGCACGAATAGCTTCATGTAGAACCCACGTTGAGCCGCGCTTATAAGGGCGTGATCGGACGAGTTCTCATTTATTTGTGTCATCTCTCTGTCTCTGTCTCTCTCTCTCTCTCTCTCTCTCTCTCTCTCTCTCCTTATCACCTCACTATCATCATTCGTAAAGGAGAGCGTTACTATCGGGAAAACGGCTTCACCATCAAGCCTCTGGAAATCAAAGTTGGGCGTTGCCGTGGCCAGTGGACGGAGCAGTGGTCCTGTTGCAAGCAGGTCGCTTATTCTTCATGTGTTTTTGAGCTGCGCATCAAATGAACGAGGTGCGCCTCCAAGTGTAAATGAAGAGACGGCGGTCGCTCCTACTAAGAAGGCATTATGAAGCGATTGACGATTTACTAGTCGGAAAATCCTGCGTATTCCTGAAGCAGGAGAGTCATTACTATATTTTTTGACTGTTTTAAGCCCTTCCAAAGGCAAACGTTACAAAGTATAAGCAGGATAAATATATGCAGATATTTGACACATAGAGTCTTTGAACATTCGAATGTAACGTTTATCTTTTCACCCATTTAGCTTATCCCTCTACGAGTAGGGAGTGGGTCAGAGAAGAAGATAGTTTTAATCCGGACGACTATGTTTTGGTCAACACTTCGGTTCGTTAAGACTTGTACTTTTTTCGATCATTTTCAATGATCGTTCATGAAACTATCTGTTTCCATCTCAGAGGAGTCCCAAAGTACCCTTCATTCCTCCGTCGAGAAGAGATGATGCACCGCTTGCTTCTATATTAAATCCTCAGCTGGATAACATCGACCCAAGGTAATGCTGTGCTCAACTTCTCAATGTATTCTGTCGTTAACGTCAACTTATTATATTAACTCAAGGAAGTTTTTCGTCGACTACGAACTTGACTCTGTTGTTCGGTTTTCTCGTATATTCGCTTCGAATATCAAATCTTCCTCCAAAGCCGAGATTTGGTGGCCGTCGAAAACTTTCCATAAGAAGGTTGCCACGGAGGTTGGTGTTAATTCCTTAGTTCTAAACCAGATATTTACTTTTTTTGAATCCTCCCCTCTCTTTCTCAGTGCGCAATATTTTTTAAATCTTATTCAATATTTATGTGTACTGCTGCTTGAAAATGATCATTTTCACTTTGAAAAATTTTTAGAAACCAGTGAAAGCCGAGAAGAAAGGTTTAACGTTAACATTCGCTCCAGATCCTCCAGTTGAAGCGTTATGTCCTGATGAAGAGGTGACGCATTGCTGGCAGCTTTCTTTATGTACTCCTGTATCTTTACTAGTATAGGTTCCGTATTAAGGCTCTGATGTTGTCGTCAAAGACACACATCAAATCGTCCCAAGCCAGTACTTCCCGTGCAGGGGACGGACCTGCTGAGGAAACAATGGCGCCATGGCGTGCAGGGCCTGCGAAAATATGGTACGGCTATCTTTCATGCTTTCGAAGTTTTCGCTATGTGTGCACTATTACCAACTTCTTTTTGTAACTATGCTTGTTTCTTGCAAACTGCAAACTTGTGTTCTCAGTTCTTTCTTTGTTTTCATCTAGTTTGTATTCTATCGAGCCTAAGTGGTGAAAGGGGCTTGCTTAGCAGCAAGCAATCTGGGAGCCAAATCCTCAGCTGCCTCGTGGGCTAACCAGTCCCTCCAGCCATCCGAGACTGGCGTTAGACTTGCACCAGAGTCGTTCGGAAGAAAAAACGCTGAATTTACGACGGCAAACTCCCGCAAACCATTTACTTTTACTTTACTTTACTTTTATTACATGTGCAAGCACATGTGGTAAAAAGAAACAACACAACACAATAGTGAACAAGTCTAGTAACTCCAACAACAAGAACAGTTAAGAACACTGAAAAGTTGAAGTACATAAAAATAATGGTAGAAGTGTCGATGAAAACATATAAGCATCAAAAAGTGAGAGAGATGCCGCACAACTCGTAAACCCTATCTAAAAGAATCATATCTTAGATATTGACCCACAGCTCTCTTAAAGAGCGAGAAAGATACAGGCACCTGCACTTTCTTGCTGAACTTTATATATTCAGATCCAGCCCTGTGAGTAAAGAAACTGCTCCTTAACGAAGACTTAGGTCTAGGAAGGATGGGGGGGGGGAATTGTGTGGGCCTGTAACATATCATGTGCCACTACTATTTTGAGTAGAATAGGCTGCCATGCAAAACATTCCAAATAAGTACTGTGCGACGCCCTTGACATTTTCTTCACTTTTTCTTACCTTTTTTTGTTGCTATCGTGCGTCTGTCATCACTGCAGATTATACTGCTCAATCGCTGCTTCTTTACGCTGGGGTGCGTACGTGCTTACGCTTGCTTTGAATTTTTATTTGTTATCCCTTTGTACTTACTTATTATCCACTGTCTATTTTTTTCTTGGACATCTATTTTTTCATAGCATTTATTTCTCCCGGAATTTTCTGAATTTCAAAGGTTTCTTCCAAAAATTAATATAATTTTGCATGAAAATGTCACAGGAAATTCTTCAAGTGAAAGCACGCTCCGCCTTCAGTCGCAGGATTTTCTGTGGCACGAATGATAATTTGATGTTCAAATTTCTTCGGTACATGTGAGCCCTGTCCATTTATTACTTTCGCAGTTCAAAAACACGTAAGGAAAGAGCGACACACTCACGACGACGGCTCCGCCCCCCTATCCACCGACTGGTGAGTATGAGGTGATAAGGAGAAAGAGCTAGCACCAATGAGTGATAACTCTTTCAACCCCGGCCGCTCTTTGCCTGATACACGTACAAGGGCAGCGTGAGGTTCAATATGGGCACTTCGGGTGCATTTGTTCCTTACTTCTGTTACTTACCATCTTCTCATTAGTATGCGAGCCACACAATTCACCATCATTGAACCCGGGTCATGCCTTTGACCATGTCATGGACTGGTCCCAGGTCTAGTGAATTCTTTGTCTGCTGCTTCTGTATGTGCTCGGGATCCCTTTTGCATTTCCTTCTTAACTGAGATGTGCTTTCTCATTTTGATGTGCTGGTGGGGCAAGATTAGCAGTCATCGTATTTTAACTTGTTGAGTTTTCACCATTTTATTAATTATACGTCATTCAGGTATGACCGTGCTGGTGTACCATCCACGGCTTCAACGTATGACTATGGGCTTGTCAAACGGAAGAAAGTAAATCATTCAGACACTGTTTCTATGACATGGCATAAACTCGTGAGAAATCGTGAAGCAAAAGTTTTCTTCTTAAGGAAAACATCGTTGAACGGGAACCAGAGGGAAAGTTGCTGCCAGCCGAGCTGATAGAGTGGGAAGATGACATTATCATAGAAGGCGATGATTTCCGCGATGAGGTAAGTTGTTGTGATGTCGTCTTCTTGATCGTCCGTTCTAAGCCATGTTGAGTGAAAGCAGGATATAACTGCTCTTTTCCAGAAGTAGTTGACAGCAGTTGCCTTTTGTTAGATTTGTTCAACGTATTAGATGCTTCACCCTCCTTATCTCATCCTCAGCGATTCTTCTGTCCTTTTCCCATTGAACTTCTGAGAGGCACAGCAATAACGCAATTTCCGCGAAGTAGCGATGTTACAGGTGCTAGATGAGCTCAAATATGGCGTAGAACCAGCGTGTGGTTGGGTCCCGACGCAGTATACAAGGACCTATGAGCAGTACATGTTGGCGGGTGAGTGAAAAATATTTCATGAAACTGTATTTAAAAAGAAATTATGGATTATTTATTGCAGTCAAGAACGATGCATTTGATTTGATGTTTCAACCGATCCAGAAGGGGATCACGCCGTCTCCTATAACCTTAGCGCCACACCCTGGTATGATATTGTTAGATTATAAATGTTATAGATAGCCAGTTCATGATCTATTTCCTGTTTTGATCCTTTTTTAATGCATTTTATGGTTTTCCCCTTATGCTCTCATTTGTGATATCCAACTACATTTGGTTTACTGCAGACATAATAACGGAGCCAAGTGCCTCTCATTCCTTATTCCCTCACGATTTCGTTAGTCAACAGGAGCACAGGTGGGAGGACAATGTAATTCTCGATCCGAAACAGGTGGATAGGATAACAGGTGAGTTTTGGAGTTTTTCTATGACCGCGTTCATACTTAGCTATCGCGCAATTGGATCAATCGAACGGATCGCACGACTACGACCGGGCACTCCATCGCCAAGCTGTTCACCGCCACAACTGCAGAATTCAAGCAGGGCCGCGTTCACACAGTGCCAGTTTGAATTCGGCCGTGCGCGCGCACCGCTTGGCGGTGGAGCGCCCCCGGTCATGGTAGCGCTATCCGATCGCGCGATCTAATGGAGCGATCGCGAAGTCTGAACGCTATCTAAAACGAAGAATGCTGATGTTTATTAAACATTTCAGAACCAAAGGTACTGTCGTTGGATTATCTTGATGATCCGTTGATATATGGTATGCCAGATGATCGACGATCTGACGATCCCATGGACTCCACGCCTAATAAGCCTTTTGATCGAAAGGTGATGAGTTGTTTCAAATTGATCGTTGAGTTGTCTGTTTTGTATTTATCGAGGGGCTGCTATAAATGTTCTAGGAACATCAGTTTACAAAGAAGTCCAAAATGATTCTCGGTCAAGTACAGCAGCGGCAAAAACAAGAGGAAGAGGAGCAGGTTGGTTTGAGAGGCAGTTTTGTCAAGGCGATCTGTGGGACTTTTCAAAAGGTCAAGTTATCTCTTTCACAAGTTATTCATCGTATTTAGATGGAAACTTCTGTGGCTCAGATGACCGACAAAGATCCTTTCAATCTTAGCAATGATGACTACTATTTGCCTAAAGCTATTAATAAGTGAGTTACTTTATCTGATGTCTATTTTTTCAGTGTTCCAGGTGGCTGAGGATGGCTCATATTGTTTCCCACTTCCAGATCTGGTCCTGCGGGTAACAGCATGCTGATACAGCACTCGATTCCAGCTCAGAACATTCACAGAACATTCTTCCCAACATTTCTCATTCCGTCAAAGTTACGGCACTTTCACAGGTTCTCCCTACTAATAGTTTGTGGAAATTACCATATTATTCATCATTCAACATATTCGCATAAATCCACTTTTTGTTGCAAATCACCTTTTAGGCAACCACTGTCAAAACGGGTTATACGTCAGTTCAACGGAAGATGGGTGGAAATCAAGAAACTTACGAAGCACATCAAGATTAAAGAAGAGGTACTTCACGAAGTCTTCTCGAATTGCATCTTGTTCTTGCAATCATTTGTCGTCGCCTGACACCTAAAAACAGCAATCTTCTTCTGCAGTCTTATTGAAAATTTCCAGCTTTCTGGTATTTAGCTATTTGCTCACCATTTTAAGTATTCGTTCATTCATTTACCAATGGGATCGGCTACAGGCGCAGTTGGTGCCCGGTTTCTTTCAATGGTTTAAAAATCTCTAGCTTGCCCGCCCTCACCGGCGCATGCCCCATCTGCTGCGTGTTTATCCTTTTCATCTCATTCGCCATCCATTTGTTGACCTTAATCCCCTTTTCCCGTCTCTGGGTTGTTTTGAAGTCTAATTACCGGTTTTCAGATTGAGCACCCGAGCCTAGGAGCCATGCCTCAGACCTACACAATTCTCATTAGACCTTCTCTTCTTCGCAAATTTTTCTCGAGTCTTCAAACTATTTCAGGACCTAGTTGAAACTTTTATAGCGGGCGCCGTTTCTGGAGTACGTCTCGACCATCGCAGCTCTATCTCCCTCATTTCATTCGTCCATCCAATGCTGATTTTCATTGACTTCTTCCTGTTCTGTGCTGCTGCAGTCGAATTCTGCATTCTGATTAGATTTTGTAACCACAGCCAAGATATTAACAACTTTTATTTGGCTTACGTTTCGGCCTTGTCGCCTTCGTCGGAGCCTGGAAAGTCAAAGATAAGGTGACCTACCGCCGAATGCCATTTCAGACTTGAGAACAGCTCACCATAGACTAAAGGCGTCTGGGGAGGTCTCGTAGCTCACAAGCACAAACCAACTAACCTTATGAGAGCACGGCTAGCTTACGTTCGACCACCGCTAAACTGACTCACTGTGGGTGGCTTCAGCTGACTTGTTATGGCTAGGCATTCATCTTTCCTGTTCAACTTGGGGTTTTTGGCGCGTATCCAGAAGGCCAGCCGACGTGTGAGGCTCTCGCGACAAGATCCTGACAGAGACTTGGAACTCCGCCCCTCCGTGTGCGTCCACTCTGTGTCCACCCAGGGGGTCTGAGGCCTCGATTTCTCCATACCGTCCAGATGTTCCTTCACCCTGGAGCAAAGTGGCCGCCCAGTTTCGCCGATG